AAAGGTAGTCGATGGGCAGGCATACGCAATACGTGAACAAGTCATCGGAGGCAGTGTAGAGCGAATGCTTCTGTTAGAGAGCGACTATCCCCACCCAAAGCACGACGACGAACCTCGTCATTACTCACCCGGTGTCCCCACCAGATATGAGCAATGCTTGGGAGACATCGGTGGTCGAATACAGAAAGTCGATTAGCATCCTCAACGAGGAAGGGCCGGGTCTCGCAACCGTAAAGCGATCACGATAGAATACATGCTAAAGTATTGCCGAATTCTAACCGAAAATTCAATGAACGTTTTTTTGTAAAATAGCCTCGGCAAACATCGCCAGCTGTAGCAAGCTATTTGATGACAGATGTTACTCATGTCCCAACCAACAGGATTCATGGAAATCAACCACTTGCTTCATTAGACGATCGCGATAACCTAGAACTCTGCTTCTAACCTCGCAAATGCTTATCCGGTTGCCCCACGAGAATCGTGCAATGCTGCGTGGGCAGCAGTGTTGGGGCACAGACAGTCTACCTTTGTCCCAAGACCATCACAAGATGGAGAGTGATTGGGCCTACTTCGAGGGAGACAAAGAAAAAGAACCTCTATGGTCAACACAGAGTACACAATCTAAGTGTGCACACATTATACTTTTTCAAGCATTCTGACCTGATAAGAAATGACAACAAGCACGCCACTACTGTCGGTTAGTTGTCATATCCTTCAGTGCCTCCAACCAACCAGCTGCAGTCTTTTGAACTCCAACCTGGAAGACGGGAGACAACTATTCTACCTAATCGCTCTGTGCATTTCTTTAGGTCTCGTTTCTACGTCATCTGTTGCCTTCTACGTGTTTTCTTCTAACCTGGAGCCGCGACTGCGAATAAGGCGCAGTGCAGTAGACAATGGCTGGGCATGTACAATACGTGTCCTTATCAGCGAAGCCGACTAATCTGAATTCGATGGGACAAAGAAGTCTCCATCGAATCATTACCAAATACGCGACGCCTTACTTCCGAGTTGCTTACACGTTCGTTCCATTTAACCCGCGTCAAACTACGTAATCAGCGGCAGTCAAAGACTTCTAGACGACGAATATCTCCTACGCGCAAATTTAGGGCCTCGCAACCATAAAGCAGAACTAACCGCACACTGGCGCAGTATACTCAGCCTTTCATTTCAACGAAATATCACGTCTGCACCAACGGTGTTTCAGTTCTGTGTAAGCTGCTCGGGCCGTGGAAATGCAGGCGATTACTTCCGTCACTACGCTACTGCCATTTGTCACGTAACTACCTAAGTAAGAGAAACAATCCACTATAACTAATTCTTGACCATCAAGCACTAGATCCGAGGTAGATGACATCCAAACCAGCAACATCACTCTGCCGTTTGGAGGTCCAAAGCACATACCGAATGAAGTTACAGAAGTTGAACGTCTGTCAAGAAAGCGTTGCACACCCTCCGTACTTTCGAATGGGCAAACGATGTCGTCAGCCAATTTATTATTCTTGTAGCAGCGGTCTATATAAACTTGCTATATTCCGCTTGAATTTGCTCTCGACATTCTAATTTTCATTCTGCTGTTTTATCCAAACGAGCAATTAAAAGACAGCAACCGAAACCGGAGCACGAAAGTGAATGGTTAATGGTTGTAGGAACTGAAATGAACTGAACTAGACTGCACAGCTTTTCTCCAGCTGCCCATTCAATATCTACATTTTGGAGACCACTAAGGGCGTTCTTCAGCATTTCGTCTACGACGAAATTGAACAGGAATGGCGAAAGAGGGCACCCTTGACGAACTGGGTACCCAAGACTTTAGGACACGGCATACTTTGCGGTA